GGACATGGCTAGCATCTAGCCTGTAAAAAACTACGGTATTCATGAGTAATTATTCATGTACATTTTCTTGGACGGGTCTGACCATTGCAATACTTTCGATTCTTTTGGTTTCGTGATTTCATGTTGTTTTGGAGGTTTGGCTCGCAAATCAACAGCATACAAGGAACAGGCCAAAGATGCGGCAACATGCCATCCAAGCAAGCATCGTTTTTCCAGCATGGTTGGGTGAATCCAATTTGTGTTTCACCATAATTTTTCAGGATTTGATGGCCAATACTTCCATGTCAACATTTTGGTGTCACACATTCAATGTCGTGTTGTCCATGAAGGGTGGAAATGCTTTACGGTGCGCTCCAACTTCGATGATGTCATGATTTGATTGGAGATTGTAGTCCTATTGACACACCACGTGACATTTTTGTATTTGTTACAGTATTTTCATCCACTGCTACTTGGGATCTCATGACATATCACAAATATCCAGTGACCAGCATGTCCAGGTATCGCGGCAGCAACTTTTTACGTCAGCGCCTGGTATTGTCCACGGTGAGTGGACGACCAGTTGTCATCACTGACATTCGAGTGAAGGCGACAGCTGCAAATCTGACCAGATCGAATTTTACCTGTTTTATACCTGTTAAATTTGCTAAATACTCTCATTTTCTGGGTTACTTTTCCCCTGTTGCACCTTGCCTCGTTCTCGCAGGATGAAGAACCTGGTTTGAGGGATTACGAGGTGCCCTTGTCCATTGCTTGCCATTGGGGAATTTTCCAGCCATGGAGCTGATTACCAAGCGGGTTTTTTGTGGGTTTGTCATCGCAGAGAGGCTCTCTGGCCGGTCCCCCTGAGGCGTCCTTCGTGAGATTGTTGGACAAGTTGTGTGATGGAGAGAGCCTCAGGGCCATCTTTACCAAGGTTAACAGAATTCACACTAAGAAACAGTACTGTTTCAGAATATGGCATGATATGGCAGCTAATTCAGTTTTACTAATTACTCTTGGTCCGGTGTTCCAGAATTGGTACCATGAGGTTCAGACATCAGCATTGACGAGACAGGCAGGACGGGTTCCAATGTCTCCAAGTGGGGACCTTCACTGAAGTTTTTTTACCTTTGTTCGTTGCCAAATCAAAACACGACGAATGATTTCTACTATTTGTGTACTATGTGGATGATTCCTTCCAGTGATTCCTACTATTCCTAGATATTCCTATCTGCAAAGAATTTCTGATCATGCTCATGGATGTATACATGGCCACCTGCACCAGGATGACACGCACAAAACAGAGAAGTCACAGAACTTTAGCAGTTGGCAGTTCACTCACATGAATACCATGTGACACTTGAGCATGTGAACCACATGTTCTTACCTTAGGCCCTGCGGTTCAAAACAAAGCTTGCGCATCTCCGGCTGACTCTTTGCATGGTAGCGGAGCAGCTGTGAGATTTCCCAGGGCTTACGTTTCCGACCTTGGTTAAGCCATAGACTTGGACGTGCCTTTACAATTCAGGTGTGACTGCAGCCTGGTGGACATTCAAAACGTTTGTGCGCTTTCTGGACATCTCAACTGACTGGTTTTCATCTATTGGTTGTGGGTACATACAGTTTGCAGTGCAGGTTTTTGGATATATACACTGATGGCGGCAGGTCAGTTTGACCCCAACATATTTCAAGCGGCTCTCTTACAAGTTGCTGAGGCAACTACTGCAGCTGCTGCAGCAGCACAGAGTGCAGCAGCATCAGCCAGCGCATCAGCAAGCGCTGTGGGCAGTGCAGGTGCAGGCAATGGTGGAACTGCATCATCAGGTGGAGTCAAGGCCAACGTGGATTGGTCCAAACTGCTGAATAAACCCTCTACTTTTGGTGAGGGCAAGTCTGTGGAGGACGATGTCAAGGCTTGGAGGGATTACCAATGGCAGCTACATCAGTATTTGGTTGCAATAGATGAGGGCTACGATGATGAGCTCAAGAAGCTTACAGCCGATCCTTCTGTTGAGTTGCCAATGGATACAGCTAGCGTTGAAACAAGGAACAGGAGCAACAAGCTCTACTCCCTCTTGGCCAGCCTCATGAAGAACAGGTGCCTAGCCATTGTCAAGTCCACTGCAAGTGGCAATGGTTTTGAGGCATTACGTCAACTGATTTTGGCGCTACGTCCCCCAGTTCAAAATCGTGGTTTGGCTTTGCTGACTGCCATCACTTCATGGCAGCCTTTTGGAATGCAGAAGCCTCTTCTTCCCCAACTTTTGGTTTTGGAGGAAGCCTATGAGGAGGCCAGAAAGAGCGGTATGGCTCTCAATGATGAGTTGCGCAGTGCCATCCTATTGCGTTGCATTGGAGGCCAGCTCAAGACGCATCTCAATATGGCTTTGACTGACAATGCAAAGTACAGCGATTTGAGAGAGCAAGTGTTGAAATGGGACCGCGCTCAGGCAAAGTGGTCTCAGTGGATGGGCAGCCATGAAACAGATGCCCAACCGATGGAGATTGACAGAGTTGAAGGAAAAGGAGGATGGAACAAAGGAAAGGGTCAAAAGGGAAAAGGAAAGTCGAACAAGGGCTTTCAGAAAGGCAAAGGAAAAGGAGGAAAATCTCCTGGAAAGTCAAAAGATGGAAAGTCCAAGTCTTGGGACAAAGGTGGAAAATCGAAAGGAAAGACGCCCAATGACAAGGGCAAAGGAAAAGGCAACAGTGCTGAGAAGTACTGTTATTCATGTGGTGGCCTGGGACACTTTGCACGTGATTGTTGGAATGCTGTACGTTCTGCACAGGTTGGAGCTACCTCATCACCTTCCTCTACAGTGAACACAGGTGAATGGAGCCATCTTACAAGCGTTTCTCAGCAACAGCAAGTACAAGGTAGCCAACAGTCTCAGGTGTCACAACAGCCACAGTCCTCTCCTAAGGCAACCCAATACAAGGTTGCACGCATTGCTGAAGAGTTTCATGCAGGCAATGATGCTTCACTGGTTTTTGATTTACGTTCGAGCCCAATGACGCCAGATGCAAACATTTGTGCAATTCACTATTTTATTGGTGATGATGATGCTGTGGATTTGGAACATACAACTGCAGAAGTGCTTGCGGTGGTTCAAGAGCTTCCTGACCACAGTGCTATGCACAACATTCTGCTGGACAGTGGAGCCGATGCCTCAGTATTTCCAATGTGTTTTGCATCAGCTGGTGAACCTTCATGCACTGGAAACATGAAACTACATGATGCACAGGGAAAACAAATACCTGTAGCTGGCATGCGTGATGTTGAGATTGCGCTTCTGGATGAACATGGACGTCTTGTGACATTCAGGGAACGTGGAGCCGTGAGCCCAGGTGTTTCTCAGCCCATCATTTGTTTTGGCAAACTTTTGGAAAACGGTTGGGGAGTTGATGGCATAGATCAAACTCTCAATCATGCATCAAGTGGTACAAAGATTCCAATTGAACTGCAAAACAAGTCAATGGTGGTGCGTGGATGGGTTAGAGCAATTGGGGCAGAGCTTCAACTTCAACCTGAAGTTCCAACGTCCATTCGAGCTGTGAAAGCCTCAGTCCTGCCTTCAATTGAGCAAGGTGCAGTTGGTTGGCATTTGGATCAATTTGGTTTGGGGATTGGTCGACACTACTCCAGTCATTTTCAAGATCCTTCTTTGATGGTTCCTGGCATGCATGGTGAACGTTTTCGAACAACACTTGTCAAGGACGGCAATGACTGGTACTGTTTGGAGCTGTGTGAGAAGCTTACAACTCTTGTTGACCTTGCAGCCCCATTTCATGACTTTGAAGGTGAACGCAGTGTCCTTACGTTCATCAGTGATGGTGAGAAGGACCCACGTGTGCTTGGTTTTGTATGGGCAGACGATGATGTTTTGCAATTCAATCCAGCAGCAGCAGGTTCAGCTGATGATGATGTTGAAATTGTTGCACCTGAAGACATGGAAGTTCAAGGTGCTGACATTGAAGGTGGAGAAGATCATCCAGCAGCAGGCGTGGAGATCCAAGAGAAAATTTTAGTTGAACCCTTGCGTGATGATAAGCTGGTAGTGAATGGTGTTGAGTTGACAATGGACAGCACCCTTGCAACACTTCGAGCTGGATTGACGTTTTACAACCTTTCCACTTCTGGTAGCAAACAGAAATGCTTCACACGCTTGGCAAATTATCAGAAACAACAAGAACTGGAGATCATCACAGCAGCTGCAAATCAAGCCCAACGAGAAGATGTGCGTGAGCCTCAGGCACCAAAGTTGGCAGTGCCACCTTCTGAAAAGGAGCAACAACAACATGCTCTAACTCATTTGCCGTTTGCAGATTGGTGTCCTAGCTGTGTTTGCCATCGCAGTCGTCAAGACCGACACATGGTGGATGGAAGTGCAAGGCGTTCAGGTGTGCCTACAATTTCATTTGATTTTTGTCACACGCGAGCAGTTCCTGATGGAGTTGACCCTGCTCGTGCCAAGCCTCTTACAGCATTGGTGATGGTGTGCTCTCAAACAGGGTATGTTCACTGCACCCCTGTCAAAAGCAAGAACCAATTTGAACTCATGACACGAGAGCTCATCTCCTTTGCGCAATTGCTTGGCCACAGTCAACTTGAGTTTATGTGTGACAATGAACCCACCATGAGGACTTTGTTGAGAATGGCCGTGAATACAAGGCTTGCGATGGGATTGCCCACAAGGGCCAATACACCTCCTGCATACAGCCATGGGAACAGTTTGGTGGAGAATGCAATTGGCCGCATCAGACCTTTAGCTGGAAGTCTGATGCATGCACTTGGCCAGAAAATTGGAATGGAGTTTTCTACATCCAATCCTTTGTGGACATGGGCTTTGCGTCACAGTTGTTGGTTGATGAACAGGTTCAATGCAAACAAAGGTGTGACCAGCTTCGAGCTCATCACCAACAAGCCCTACCGTGGAGGCATATGCCAGTTTGGTGAGCCTGTCTATGGTTACAGCAAGAGCAACAACAAAGGTTCAGCACGATGGTCCAGGATGATTTTTCTGGGCAAAGTGGATCCCCAGGATTCCTTCATCCTTTACAATGGTGTCAATTTGGTTTTGGTGAAATCCATTCGAAGGATTCAGACTGACTGGCGTGGACACTTGGCATTCTATGTCAACTTCAAGTGCAGCTCCTTTGACTACAAAAGCGGCTTTGGAGGGCGTGTTGTGCCTACAAAGGCAAACAGATCTGCAGTTGGTGCGAGCTTCAACCAGCCCCAAGGTGCAATCGAGCCTTCAGCGTTTTACGATGAAGATGGAGCAGCAGTGATTGAGAAAGCCAAAGAGGAGAAACGTGAAGAGCTTGAGTCAACAAAGATGGCACTTTGGGATCGCCCTGAGAAGGTTGAGGAAGAGCTCATTGAGTTGCCACCCACCGGCACTTACCCAAATCCAACAGATATTTGGGGAGAAGGAGAAGATGAGCCAATTCAGGTCACTGGAGGACCAGCCACTGGACATGCTGATGTCCCACCTGCAGTTGCAGCAAATGATGATGATGATGTTGTGGGAGTTCCCAATCCAAGTTTGCGTTTGGATGCACCCAGCACTCCAATTGATCTCTTGGCAGCGCCTTCGACGCCACCATCTCCACGTGCAACACCCACGACAAGGGTACATGATGCTGAAGTTGAGGAGGAGCACTCTCCAAAGAGGTTCAAGGAGGAGCCCCACAAGAAAGCCAGGTTGACAAGGCTTTCAGAAGAACGTGATGCCATGGTGCGTGTGGTGAAAATAGCTGATGATGAGTTCTACACCATGGACAGCTACAATGAAGATCCACAACTGGATGACCACTGTGATTATGGAGACCCTTGGATGGACGAGGACAAGGTGACAGCCAGTGGCATGCCAGAAGCACTTTGGTATGATGGGGACATCACAGTGCAGCCCCCGACACCTGCCAATTGGATCGACCAACTAGCTGACAAGATAGAAATCCAAAGGTTGTGCAACATGGGTGTTCTAATGCCTGAAGCTGAGTATGGAGCAAAAGTTGAATCCAGACTCACAACACGATTCGTGTATGATTGGCGCCTGAAGGACTACAGTGGCCCCAACAACAATGAGCCAACAAGAAAACGCTGGTTAAGGAGGAGCAGGTGTGTTGCCCGAGAATATGCCTTCTTGGAACACCGTGAAGACACCTTTGCTCCAGCAAGCTCGACACATGTTCTGAACATCCTTCCAGTTCTTTGGCTTCAGAAAGCAGCCGACTTTGAGGCCAGCAAAGGAACAGATTCAGGTTGTGAGTGGCTTCTAGCAACCTTGGACGTCAAGGACGCCTTTCTCATGGTGCCCCAACCTGAAGTTCTGAAGATTCGAGTTGGAAGTGAAAACTACATCGTCCTGAGGAACCTTCCAGGTCAAAGGCAAGGTGCTCGAAGTTGGTACTGGCACTTGCGCAAATGGTTGGACGATTCTTTCAATGTGGAATGGTGCTTGGAACAACCATGCTTGTGTCGAGGCAACAACTTTTGCTTGCTCACTCATGTGGATGACATCCTCTACTGCGGCTCTCGACAGTTTTGGAATGATGTTTTCCTCCCAACGTTCAAGAAGTCTTTCACTGTGAGCTACAGCATGTTGGAAGGAGTTGGAAGTGAAATCAGCTTTCTGAAGAGAAAGATTCAGCGTTTGGAGAATGGTTTGGCCTTGATCCCTGGAACAAACATCGATGCTTTGGTGACCAAGTTTGAAGAGAAGTATGGACGTGTCAGATGCCACACTGTTCCAGGTGACAACAGTTTGCAACGAGAAGATGTTTCAGCTGAGCTTTCAAGTGCTGATGGCAGCTTTTACAGGATGTGCGTTGGTGTCTGCTTGTATCTGAGCCGTGACAGGCCAGACATTGTCTTTCCAGTGAAGGAGTTGGCATCAAAGATGAGCCGACCCACCATCAACTCACTTCAGTGCCTGAAACGCCTCATTGGGTACCTGAAGGTCAGCAGAGACTATATGGTTGTGTTGGAGCAACCCATTGGTGGGAGTGGCCAGGTGAAGCAATCAGCTGAACACCACTGGATTTTGGAGTCATTCAGTGACAGCGACTGGAGCACCAATCAGGAGCACCGCCGCTCAACTTCAGCTGGATGCCATCTTTTATGTGGATGTTACATGTACAGCTCAAGCAGAACGCAGCGCGTTATCAGCTTAAGCTCTTGTGAAGCTGAATTACATGGCATGGTATCAACCTTGGCCGACGGAATCTTCTTGAAGCGTTGCATTGAGTTTTTGGTGAAAGCAACAGTGGAACACTATCTACTGACTGACAGCAGCAGCGCTCGACAACTTGCCCAGCGTCAAGGGATTGGAAAGATCAAGCATCTTAGTGCAAAGGTTCTCTGGATCCAACAACAAGTCCAGGACAAGATGGTCAGCCTTTGCCAAATCTCTACAGTCTGGAATGTTTCAGATGTTGGCACAAAGGTTCTCAGTGCCAGACGCCTCAAACTGCTTCTACATCAACTTGGAATGTTCACGCAGGATTCCCAGCGTGTTGGTGAGGAGGAGTTCAATGAAGCAAACAACAGAGCTGGTGGAAGAAATGTCATGCAACTTGCGCGTGTGGTGGCACGGGTAATTGCAGTTATGGGCCTTGAGCCTACACGTGCAATGGGACAAGGGGATGAGACTTGTTCCAGCCCAAGCCTTTCAGCCAATGAATGGTGGTTCAAGCTTGGCATTGCGATCTTGGTTGTCATTTTGATTGCATTTGCAGTTGGATGCTTTGTGGTGCGCAGGTATGTCAAGCAATTGCTCCATGACCTCTACCACTTGAGCGTCCAAGTTGCCGAGGCTGATACAGTCATTGGTGAGCACATGCAACAGGTGCCCGCCATACAATCAAGATTGGATGGCCTGATGTTACAAGTTGGTGATGTGAGCCAACGCGTGGCTATGCTTTCAAACCAGGTGATTGAAACACAGAATCAGCTGGAAATGGTGAGTGATCGACAGGATGGCCTTCACTTTGCCATCATTGAGATTGGAGGTTTTGTGAGATATCACGATCTCACAGCACGAGAACGTAGCAGTATGTTCACTCAGGAACGTGGAAACATGATGGCCCTGAACACCATGGGGGCCAGCCAATACCTGAGAGCCATTCGAGCTCAATCAAGGGCGTTTGTCAGAGGAGGTGAGGACACAGACCCACCTACAATGGAGGAATCACAGCAGCATGAAATGGAAGTTGATGAAAATGAAAATGAAAATGGAGAAAGTGAAAATCGCACAGACGATGAAATCATTACAAGAGAGTTCAATCCAGAACGCAACATGGAAACCAGACGAGGTGAACTGACAGCCACTCTTGATGACTTGAGACGACAGCTTGATGAAGCTTTGGTTGGTGGACATTACAGTGATGGCGCCGAGATCCAGCAGACAATTCTCATGGTGCTGGACCATTTGAATAATGGTGACTTGCGCCTTCCAGACCAAAGACGTGTAATGTACCTCCAGTGTGCCGATAGAATGCAACAGCTGTCAAATCGGGTCAGGAGACGTGGCAACATAGCCTTAGCTGATGTCTACTTGGAATATGCAGCAAGCTATCGAAATTCAGTTTGAAGTTTGGATGAAAGAAAGGAGAGAGGAGGGGAATCAGAGCTACTCCCTATAATGCTCTGCAGTGCATTTTGCACACTACAACCGAGGATTTTCCAAAGGAAATGACAAAGCAATGTGAGAATTTACATACGTGCGTTGTTTGGAAAAGTGCAGCTGGCCGTGTAGCAGAAAATCTATGGATGGTGAGCTGAGTTGAAACTTCACCTCCCCAAGGAGGAGTGCAAAGAATTTCTGATCATGCTCATGGATGTATACATGGCCACCTGCACCAGGATGACACGCACAAAACAGAGAAGTCACAGAACTTTAGCAGTTGGCAGTTCACTCACATGAATACCATGTGACAGTTGAGCATGTGAACCACATGTTCTTACCTTAGGCCCTGCGGTTCAAAACAAAGCTTGCGCATCTCCGGCTGACTCTTTGCACTATCGATTCCTACTATTTGAAGTAGAACGTATCTATTTTTACATAGCTTGAAGCTGACATCGTCCAGGCACCACCTTGAAGTATCGCCCGGGCCAGATCGTGGGCGGCAGCGGCTTGGTGTCGCTCTAAGTTCGGTTCTGGCTGAACCTTGCAATCACTTCATGGATGAGGTACTCATAGGTACTCCAGATGATGCTCCACCTTGATGTATGCAAGGTATCCAAGGTATCCGAGGTTAGTCATGCTGAAAGAGTTATATTTTTTTGGAACCCAAAGGCCCAAAGGTAAACAACTTTAAGAAGGGTCGTAGTTTTGGCGAGTGATGGATTCTTCGTTTTATGGGTTTTTTTTCATGATACAGTGAGAAATTAGCCGCTAGTCAAATTATGATCATTGGTCCTGAGCAAATGACATGTGATAAAGATTGCTTAACTATCGTTAAAAAATACCATTGCTCATCAACAAGTCGTCATCTTTTCACCAGAAGTGGAAATAGGGTATCCAACCATTTGCCAAATCCATTTACCAGCTAGAAATCGACCACTATCCATTGATCAATCCATTTATTGACCTATCCAAGGTCATTGACCTGTGTATTCAATGATGAATATGAACAACAACCATTAACAAACCATATATCAATTGATAAACAACAATGAACAACCCATATATATATATATATCCATATATATTATATACATTATATATATATATTATACATACATTGATCCATCAATTGATCCATTACATATCCAGAAAAACACTACAGCAATTTCCGGAAATCCGCGAGGTCCACAGCTGTCCGCCGAGCCGAAGCCTGAGCTACTTCCTGGAGGAGCGGATCGCCCGACCTGGGAGAAGCTGGTTATCCCAAAGATTTTTTGAATTTGATTAAAATGGTTAGATGGTTAGATTGGATTTATTCTGTTTTGACTTGATTTGATTTGATTGATGGATTGGTTGATTTGATTGACTTGATGGATTGTTGATGATTTTGTCGCTTGGTCGCTTGGTCGCTTGGTCGATTGATCCTCAATGCACGTTGTTTGTTTGGTTGCAATGCTTTTTTGGAAAAGACCCGGGGTTCCATCAACCAGTTGTTGACTTTTTCATGCACGTCCAGGCCGTGTAGGTCTGGTGGAAACCACCAGATCGCCACAGAAGCCCAGATAGATACTCACGTTCAGAAAGCAACAAATCGCCATTCGGAAATCCCAAGAAAAAAGTCCAAGAGAATTGGTTTCTTCCAAACATTTGCTGCACAGATGGCGCAAAATCCCAAGAAGATGTCACAGAAACTTGTGAGACTTGGACACACTTTTTTCAGAATGGGCGACTTAACGGTGACGTTATGGCTGCTTTTAAGTCGGGTTTCGTGGTGATTGAACCAAATATGGGACATTTGTGGAGTTCGACCAGGGCCTTTTATTCCTGGCTCCGCTGGCCAAGCAGCCATTAACTGTCGTCGTCTCAGAATTTGAAGTGGCTCCAGACCTCATGGTCCACAAACAGAGAGAAATGCATGTCCTATGATTTTAAACATTTTTGCTTCAACATCATTTCGTGATATATGATCCAGACGATTCTACATAATTTTCTATTGGTCGTATATAGACCTTTCCAGATCTTGAACAGCTTCATCAGATGTGAAGCTTGCTGTTGGGGTGCCAATATTATGGGGATCAAGTTTCATTTGAGCTACCCAACACTGCGAGGGAAATTCTGAACTTTGGGACTTTTCAGTTTTTGACATGTCCGGATTATAGCCAACATTGGGAATTTTCCATAGTAGACTTGCATGGCAGGGGAAATCCGCATTGGATGTGACACGCTGTGTTTTCTTTTTGATCGTGGCATTCTTCTCATTGAAGCTGTTTACATTGTCAGATTGGGAAAAGTGATGGTGGTGGGTATAATCCAAATCTCCTGATTTTTTTTTTGCTTCAGCTCATGTTGAAAATCTCTGCCCGGATTTCTCCCAGATTCTTCCGGCGGGGAACACCCCGAGGTTCGCTTGAAGGGAGCTGCGGCCTCAGGGCCCTCGTGCCGTCAGCGTCTACATGCCATGGCCAGACCGCAGCTGAGGTGACCAATGGCATGGATGACGTGGTGCGATCCCACCAGAATCAACGGTGTCAACGTGGCTGGAAATCCCCGAAATGGAGGCTTTATGGAAAAATCATCGATGACAAAAATGGCCATCATTTTCAATTGCCATGTTTGATTCTGAGAGGTATTTGAGTTGGTGGTCCACTTTTTTGGGCTTTTGGAGGTTTGGGGTGGCACTGCAGATGTTGATTTTGCTGCCAAAAAACTATACTGTCTTTGGTTGATTCTTAACCCAAAAACCTCAGCTGGACCTCGCCAGACCCTGGCTCCAGTGTGGCAAACGGCCGATGTACAAAAACGCTCGGGAGACGGAGCAGCATGGCTCGAAATGTCTCTGCGGAGCAGGCTGGGCCGAAGGGTGGCTTCTGGTGGTTGGGATCACATCTTGGGTTCTCCGCTGATGGTTAGCCTGCTCCGGCACGAGCCTTGAGTTTTTTGTGGCTAACAAAAACTATCAAACATCCACAGTTGCTGATTTCAAATAACTCATTAGTCATGTTTTTTTTCCTTGGAATTGGGCTTCCACTTCTTTGCCAGGAGCACCTCCTTCTGTTCATGCACGAACGCTTTCTCTCCATGCAGGAGGCTGGGGCTGACTGGCAGGTGCAGTCCAAGTGGAAAATTCTTGGGGTTTTCCTAGAGCATTGGAAAGTGTGAGAAATGGACTCCAAGAATATCAAGAATGAGTTAGACCTCTCCAAGATGAATAACTGAATAACATATCAATAAGCGACTTCCCATTTTTTGGGCAAATTTGGTGTACTTTGGATGCTCGGAACCATTCCTGACATCCTGACAGCCACGATTTGGACCGGAAGGCAGCCTCATTCTTCGGTGGCGAGGACGGAATCGAGGCGATCGCAGGAATGACTTTGGTGAAGTCTAAAGTCTTGCTATGGAAAAAAAACAATTAATTACAATTGATTACAATTTCTGTATTAGATTATATATATATATATGTGTATGTATATATATATGTATATATATATGTATATATATATAAACATGGATTACCTTAGGATGTGGGAAAGCGGCATGAACTCACCAGCAAAGTGTGGAACTGCGAGCGGCGGATTTTTTTCAAAACCCTGTTGGGAATGACAGATTCCTGGAAGCCTATGGAACCACAAATTATTGACTGTTTTTCTTTCCCCAGGAAACGATATGTTCCAATGGAAGTAATCTTATCGGCCAGAGTGTGACAACCGTTTCTGGTTGACCACCAAGCAGATTTCTACTAGTTGCTGGTTTCCAATGTCTTGATTTTCAACAAATGGGATGATGATCCCCGACGTATCTGGGGTTTCTCAGCATGTTTTGAGGCAGTTCTCAGTGCCGACGAGTTCAGCTTCGCACTGCGACAAAGTGGCGAGAACAGCGAAATCGAGAGATTTGATTTGTTGGCCAAGGGGAGATGTCAACCGGAAAGTTGTTTTTTTTTTTGACCAGCAAAGATTGGGGCGAATATCAATATCGGAGATGTTTTTTTCCTATACGGCAGCAGTTTTTGTGGGATGGAACTTGACCATCTTGACTGCACCCATCATGTGATATTCACCAGCGACCAGGTGGATTTCTGTTAGTGGATGGTTGGGATGGACATTGACGATGTGGGTATCGGCTTGTCTGAGCTCTGGAAACTCTTTGTATCCACCTGCCGAGATTTGGAGTGCAACAAAGGTTGGCAGGCCATCCATGGCCATCCCCAGTGGTTGGACTATTTCTGCTTGACCATTTTTTGACTATGATGTGATTGACATATTATTGTTTAAAATTGTTTATGCCTCATTTCAATTTGTAATCCAAAGGAGTCCTCTTGATTTTTCTTCTCAATTTCAACAAACTAAAGTGAGCAAACAACATTTTTCAGCCCAGGTGGCTACGGCCGCCCCTCAGAGCAACTCTTTCACTCCTTCTCCGGCGGCCAAAACAGGTGCCGCCAGTGGGGTACCTCCAAATCTATAGCCATTTTGATGGGAGAAAATTTTAGTTTGAACCGCTTCATTTTCATAGGAAAAACACGCTGTTTGTTTGGATAGCAGCATGTTTGATAAACAAATCTGGTTTCTGCTGTGCAGATTCCCGTTTTTGCAGGGTTTTATCTATTCTTGTGCTGGTTCTACCATATATCAGCTCTATCCTCGGCGAGATACTGATGGATTTTTTCGATGTCCAAAGCATCACGTGCTCTTGTTGTGGGGACTGGGTGTAGCTCAAAAATGACGTACCAATCGACTCCTGAGGCAATCGACACATCAAACGCTTTCTTTAGTCCATACTTCAAGCGGTAAGCCATGACCATACTAGTCATCAAATTGTAGCTGGTAATTGCCTCGGGATTTAGTTTGAAACCGGTTGTCCCGGTGAAGACCATTGGTTGAATCCGCATGTTTCATGGTGCAAAGTGGTAGCCGTGTGGGAAGGAAAACCCAGATTTTCATAGGTTCATTCTGGTTCTTAACGGTTCAATAGGGTTCAATACGGTTCAATTCCCATTTCAAAATGCGGAACTTCGCATTTTGGTGATCTCTTTGGGGTCAGGATCAAGGTGCGCGACCTCCTGCAGTTCATCGTGCGCATCGCGCCAGAGACTGAAGCGCCGGGTCCGCCCGTTTCGCCCGTTGCGGCACCGGCGAAGGAGCTTTCTTAGGGAGTTCAGGGGAGTCAATGGGATTCAAAGCCATTTGATGGGCATAAAATGGGGATGACATGGGAATATGTCGGAAACATGGGGACATAATGGGAATGCCTCCCCCATATATATCATTGTTATATATTATATATCATATATCATTGTTGCATCCTCGTTGGGACGAACAATGCCGCGACACGATGATGACAGTCCCTCCGCAACTCACCTCTTCCCTTCCTTCTTTCTCCTACCCCGCCAGCTTTCGTCATCCACCCCCGGCCTCAAGTATAGATATTGGGATAATCAACATGATATTATATTTGGAATATGTGGGTTTCTCAAAAAATGGGGGTTTGTCCCCTGATTGTGCCTATTTCATAGAGAAAAAACTGATTGACCAGTGAATTGGGCACAAAAAATGGATGCGGACTAAGACCAAGAATCTAAGAATTGCGATGTTGAGAACTCAAAATTTGGATGTTGAGCCAAAAAAAACAATGACATTGAACACAAAACATTTGGTCTTGCTGCCAACCAACTGCAGGATTTTTGACCAAGTACGATGCTTGATAGGTCACAAAATAGGGTTCATCATCCAAGGGAGCAATGGAAAATTCACGAACATTGACCACTGATCCTTGGAAAGAACAAGGTATTTTGCTCACCTTGCGCCTTGGGTGCTGCCCTCTGCTTCCTGGCATCCAGGAGCGATCAGAGAGGGTCAAGATCGAGGAGCCTTGCCTTGGTCGCAAGGAACTGGTCATTTCTGGGGTGGAGACAACATCGAATTTAGGACCCAATTTTGTGACCCATGTGCGTTCATGGTTCAATGGTTCAAACTTATATACGAAGTTCGTGGTTACTCCAAGACAGTCGAGTCGTATTCCACGAAATTCATTCCGGACATTTTAGTCTTGTTACTGTATTGACGCGAATAGAACAGGCTGGAAAAGCACGTGCAAAAATATCAGCCAATCATTGCTGAGCAGACAGATTGGCTACTCATTTTGTTGGCAATAAACAAGGGTATCCATTGGTATCATGTTCTTTTTTGGGGGCTTTGCAGTCAGCAATCCTTTGATTCCATGAGCATGTTGAAGCTGTTGAAGTGTGTACTGGGTGTCAATAGGGAAGGAATCCCCAACCGGAGACCATGTCCGTTGACTTAGATAATATATGATAATATATGATAATATATGATAATATATATGACAATATACGATAATATCTACTTTTAGCCTTGCTTCAGAGTCTTCGGGCACCCGTTTTTTTTTAACGGTCAGTTGTCAGGATGAGTCCTCAAACTTGAGCAGAATGTTTGGGCCTTGGCGATTCGAGACCAAACCCGAAAGCGCTGGAGCTTTCTGTGGCCCAGGCAGCTCCCTGGCCGTGCCCTCGACAGCCAGAGCTCCCTGAACAGCCAGGCGGCCACTGATGGGATGGAGATGGCAAGTGTTTGTCGATCCCCAAAGAGATCGACAAAAGTGGGGGACCCCTGCCTTTTTTCGTTGATTTACTGTACTTTTCTCTATTTCTATATCCGTTTTAGGGGATTGATAGAAGGGACTAGAATCAACTTCTAGAAACACTTCAAGTTCGGCTGGTGGCCTCATATTTGGTTGCCGGTGTCTCAAGTTTGGTTGGCCGGGACCCGATTTTGGGACCTGGGGCAATATGCCTTGGGATTCACCCAACTGTAGAAACAGTTGCGCAGGTGAAATCGGTTGAAGACTTCCGCGTCGAAAAGTCCCGGAGCCCGGACTTGGGACTTGGGACTTGAGCGTTCTTGGAAATGAAATCACTTACACCCGTAAGGTGAAGATGGTAATCTGCAGCGGTTAATATTTGTGGTGCCCAAATTGGGTTTTCGTTGAGCATCCACTGAATTTGGTGCCGAGTTTTGGTGGAAATAGAGCCTCGCGCCCTGAAACGAAGACCCCACCTGTCCGCTCTGGATTGTCGAGGTCTGATTCTGAAAAAAAAACAAAGTCAAAAATTGCTGTGAGGATCCATACCATTTCTGTGTTCGAATCGGTGTGCATGACATGGAAGAAACGGAGCTGTTCCTTGATGTGGAGCTGATGTAGAAGCCGAGGCGCTATCCTCTAAGTTTACCACGACTAGCAACTGATAATCTGAGTTCGCAACTTTCCAACTTAGATCGCATTCGACCCCAGTTGCATTCCAAGAGTACATTTGATGGTGGCCAAAAAATCAACATTTAAACTTTGATTGGTTATATAATAGTTAATCAGCCCTTATTGTCCTGATTACAGTAGTCGGTTTTGGTGGTCAACAAACTCTTAAGGTTGTAGCCCCAACAAATCGCTGATCGACTGCCAAAGTTTGCCCGGCCGAGGCAGCCCAGTGCGAAGCGTCAGGCGAGGGTCCATGCTAAACCAAGAGTGGTTCTATGTGCACACACACACAAACATATCAAGCAACCCCCAATTTTTTTCCTCTCAAAACACATTTTATTGGTTTCAAAATGGTTTTGCGAGAGTAAATCTTCAGCAGATGAGATTCTGCCATGTCAACTGAACATCATGCGATTCTGATGATTCAGTTCCTGAAGCCAGTGATGATAGTCATGATCCCGTCCCCTGTGCAGCAGTGGAGCAGTTTTTCCACTTTTTTTTTTTCAAATTTTGCCCGCTTTTGCCCTCAGGGATGGGTCAAAACCGACATGCCTGTGGGGCTGAGCTGGCTATCAAACTGGTGACGATCATCAGTTGTTTTCCATTTACCGTGGTTTTCCCGTTTTTATATCACATGAATATCCCAGGTCTTTAGGTGAGTTCAACTCTCATTCTTTTTCGGTTATGGAGGCGAGTCTCGCATCGCTGGGGGCACCCAGGAGGGCGATGGTTCCACCGAAAAAGTCGTAGGCAACCCCTAGCCAGATGGTTTCACGGACAACGCTGGTTTTCACGCATCAACGAACGGAGAATACACGTATGTTCATATCCTGGAATCTTTGTGTTGGTAAAACGTATCTTCAATTTTTGGTGGGTAGGGACAAACACCAAGGTCACCAAGAAGTGTTGTCAACGCAAAACTTTTCCTTTTTTTGGCTAAAAAGACACCTTGGGTCAGTCGAAATTTCGTTTTGGGTCTATCACCACTCCTGAGGTTCTAGCCATTTTGACGTACGATTTTGGGATAGACATGACGTTTGAACGGGGGACCCCATCGTACGAGCTAACCTCTTTGCACGCCCAGATTGCAGTCTTTCGATCGTCTGGAGTCCACGCAGGCGTCGGTGATTTCCACTTTTGGTTTCAGATAGAGTGTAATATACTGAGTATATGCCGTTGTATTTTTGGTTCAGATATCCAGAGTCAAAAAACACTCTTTGTTTTTTCGAACAAAAACAGCAGATGGCCACGTTTTTGCTTCACAATCCCTACAACTTGGGTCTGGAGGAGGCTGAGAGAGAAGGAGAATTGCAGGAAACTCTGTCCGAGGCTGGAGTCATCTGAGGTGAGATGTGAAGTTTGATCAGTCGTTAGTTGTTCGAAATCCCACTGATATTACTGATATCCATGATTTTCATTGATTGGATGCTTAGTTTTTGGTTGGTTTTTGGCCCCGGCTTAGTTGATGAAATGCTATCAAATACCAAATTCCACCCGCCGAATCACGCCCAGCCGTGAATTTCCCTTGAAATCAAACTATAAATATCATGCGACTTTAGAATGATGGGACATACAGTACATCTTACACACCTTCCTGTTTTGTTAATCACTTG